CTATTTATAAAACTCATGAAAACAATTTTTTGCTGTCTGGATTTTATAAAAAATTATCTTCTTCAGAATATATGCTTAGTGTCATAAAATTATGTAAATGGACCGTAGTGACTTTTATTAGCAATCAGACTTGTAATTATTCAGACGAATTCGAATAATTTTTTCGTTAATTTTGTTGTGTATTATTTTTATGGTTTTTAGTACTGTAATGTTTTAAGCATGGATATTTGTGGCTAAAAATTTCATGTCTCACATAAATATACTATATCATACTTGTGCTGTTGTTAAGAAAAATTTTTGTGAAGGTGTAGTTAATGAAATCTAAAATTTAACAATGAAAAGTAATAATTTAGTTATTTGTCTTAATTACTGAGAGTGGAAATGAAAATTTTGAGCTAAGGAAGCCAGGAAGAAATTTTTAGTACTTGATATTTAATATAACAAAGTATTTTTTTTTTCGAAAAAACTAATTAAAATTTTAGTGAGTCATTATTGCAAAGAAAAAATGATGTAAAGGTACAAATATAATTAACAAAGTTAATATGTAAAAAACGAGTTATGTGTGCTTTAATTGAAACAAAAATAAAAAATCTTTCGTCTAGTCATGAACTTTTATTTATTATTCATTCAGAAAAATGGATAAAAATTGTTTCTTGTTAGTGACTAATTGAGTAAAGCTGTGAAGTATATTGTTGGAACATTATTTTGAACTGATATTATTTGAAATCATTATAGACTTGTGATATAATGTGTAATATGTGCCTTAAAAAGTAAGTATTAATCAGAATCTTTCAACAACAGTAGTAATTTGTTTGGAAAATGAATTTGAAAAAAGTGCAAACAGTGAACAAAATAATTTATAAAAATGCTAGAGTTAATTTGATTCAAATTAGAAAATAAAAGCATTTGTAAGAATGCAAAGAGCAGATATTTAAAATAGAAAGATTAATTGTATTTGTTGAAAATAAAAACAAGCAACCATGCTTGAGACTAAAAAAAGCAACAAAAAAAATGCTACTTATCCAAATAAAAATGCTTTTTCTATGAACTATTTACTTGACTTCAATAGCATTTTTACTGCATTTTCAATTTTTTTCTCTTTGCAGCTAGATGTTTGAACATTAGCATTTTTGCCAGGTAAGAAACAATTGTTTATTTTTAATTGTCAATAAGTTATCAACAGCAAAAAAAAATAGCAGTAAATAATACAATTTTGGTTGCTAGCAAAATATTTTCTGGCAAGTAAAATTGCATTGAAGTATATAATCGTCATAAATCTATGAATGATTGAAGGCATTAGCGCATTATTCAAATTTTCAACACAATAGTTGACTGGTCAGTCAAATGATCTGTCAACTGACGCACTAATGATCAATTTGAATAGTTCTTTTAACCAAAATCGCAATATTGCCCTTACAAAGTCGCATTATTGTCCTTACAAAATCGCAATATTTCCCTTAACAATAATTCTTTTTAATCGAAATCGGATTTTCAGCACTCTAAAATAATGATAAATTGCAAATATTTGCCCTTACTAAACGGTTTTAAATATATGTTTGACTTTTGGCTTCTTAAATGATACCAAAAGTAATGTCTGATTTCAGCCAAAAAGTGACCTCAATTGTGGTAAAAATGAAATTGTTATGAATAGTAATATATTAGTGTTAATGTTTCAACACGTTAAGTTGATTTTTTGCATCAGTTTTCATTCACGCGAATACTTTTGCTACTTCATTTGAAACAAGTTTAGGTAAGGAAAATGCTCGGAAAAAGTTTGTTGAGTGAGTAAAGCAGAGCGAAAAATGAAGCTTTCGCATCTAAAATGCATTTAAGCAAAAACAAACGGAAATTTATCGCTGAAAAGTCAGAATTTAGTTTTGAATGATAAAGCAAAAAAAAAAAATAGGACTTCACATTAAGCAATTAAACTATAAGTAGTGTAGTATATAATTTCAAAAATTTGCATCATTCCTAAACTTCCAATAATTGTAGCACAGCTAAGTACTTCTATCCCTCAAATACTTCAGCTGCAAAGTAAGCTGAAAACTTACTATCTTGTTGTGGGAAATTTTTTTGTGAACTCTTATTCAGTAACTTTTGGATCAAAACATTTTATTCGTTGATAAAATTTTTACATTTTCATGATAATGTATGTAGTTCAATAGGTATAAATTTATTTTTAATGAAATTACTGCAAATCACTGTAATTCACTTTGCTAATAAAAATGATAATTTAAACATATAAAAAATAAAACTTTTCATTATAAAGCTGAAATATGTAATTAAAATGATTGAAGATAGAAATTAGAAAAGATTTAAAATTGATTTTGCTTGATGCTAAATTAAATAAAATTCTTGATAAAAATTTTGCAGTGCTTAAAGTGAAGTGCTTGATTTATTTCAATACAAGCTTTATCATAATGATTTGAAAGAAGCTAATAAGAATGCAAGTTTGAAAAATAAATAAACAGATTAGCAATAATTTATCTTCAATTTGGATGAAAGATCTCAAAAAATAATTCAAAACTAATAATGATTTCATGTAATGACTGACAGTGTAAGAGGAACTGCAGAAGTAAAGTGAGAAAATGAAAATATTGCGCAGTAGCATTCGCGACAAATTATTGATGTAAGCAATTAACTGAGGTAGAATGAGAATATGAGCATATTATATGAGCTTGTATGGCACTTAGATGTGGAGTTAAGACCGATGCAAAGAGCTAGTTAAGAAAGTAAAGAGAAGATAAAATGCATGACAAGCCAACTTACATTTTAAGTCCTATCTAATTGCCACACAAATTTTATCTACAAATTATTGCATATTAACAGACTGTTTACACCCTAACTCTGTTACTGAATGACTGATTTTACTTATCTAATTGACAACGAAAATTCATCTTTTTTTCAGTTTTTGGAAGTTAATTTACTTCATTTAAATGTATTTAATATCAAATTATGTTTAACTTTTCATAATTTTGCATATTTCTTTCCAAATTATGAGATAACTTAGTTAATCTGTTAAATGTTATATGTCACTGAGTAAAGTTATTCTATGCTTTTTTTTGCTCGGATTAAGAATGAATGATATTTGGTTAACTGCGAAATTAGCAATAAAAGGCTGAGAACTTCAAAGGGTAAATTTGTTCAACAATAAAGTAAGACAAGAAAGTTGAAAAACTGATAAATTTTCAAAATGCTTACCTGAGCAGTCAAGAAATGGAAACATTAAGGTAAGAATGAAAGAAACGATTGCTTTTGCGTGAGCTAAAGAATTGATGGAAAGGAAGTGTAAAGTGCCGTTAGGAAATGATGTTGGCAGAATGTAAGTTTTTGGAGAAATATTGAAAAAGGTGACCTTAAAGCCAATAATGATAGAAAGCTGCTTAAAGTAAAAGTATTGCTCGTTGTTGCAGTTGTTGTTGTTCGTTTTTGAAGCGCAAAAGAACAAAAAGTTACAGCTATTGTTGAGGCTTTGCAAGTAAGTATGAGTCCTTCTCGACTTCGCTATTTTATTTATAAGCGGTGAAATAGCCTGATATCAGCAAGTTTGAGTCTAAGTCTAAGAGTATCTTAGTAGCAGCTAAACATAGGCAATGCTGCTCAACAACCACTCCGATAACCACGTAAATTGGTTTTAAACTGCTGTCATACTCTACTTGCAAGCACATTCGCATAAGCATGCCATCTGTCAAGTAAATAAATGTATTTTCTTTCGCTTTTCTACGATAAAAAAATTAAACAGTTAGTTAACCTAATAAAATTTTTGCTCAAAATCTCTCAAATTTCATTATTTAATAGAATAAATCAGTAAAAATTTACTATAAGTATTTGCTGCAAAAAATAAAAGAAATCACTTTGTAAAACTAACGTGCAAAAAAAAACTATTCTACATATTTTTCTTTGATAATTCATATTTATTAATTTAAATAGAGCAAAATTATGAAAGAATTGATAATTAAATTAAAAATTTCAAAAATGATATAGATATTAAGTTGCAGTTACTAAAAAAAATTTATGCAAACTGAAAATTTTTTTGAATTCAAATTTCTTTAAGAAACAAATCTTAAAAACTAAAAAAACTAACCGTATTGTCTTAAACTTTTGCAAAATATAGTACCGCAGAGTAAACATTTTCTAATATTATTTCCATTTTAAAATAATAATTTTATCAGTATTTTCACAAACAGTCTGCTAGTTTTAAATTTCAAGAAATAGAATGCTTTTTGGTTTATTTACAAGCATAGAAAAACAAATAAAAATTTGTAGTTTGCAAAAAATCATATTGCATTTTAAGTAAAAAACTCTATTTAATAAAGATTATTTAATTTAACATAATTTGAAATAAAGTGAATAAATTTCGCATCAATTTTAGCAACAAAAGTAATTACAGCAAAGTTATCACTAAAAATACAACTTTCCGTAAACAAAAGCTTTTTAATCACTAATAAACAGATCATTGTAGTAACAAAATATGGTACAAAAACAAACTAAACCAAAATAAAACTAACTCAAAAGACCAAAATACCTTAGATTGTAAGCAAGGTTTGCATTTCAACAACATTTAGTTAACTAAATTACATGTCAAATGATGCTCATACTTTTCTTCTTGTTCATTATTTTGAGTATTGACTAATTGCACTTGCATGCATAAGTAATAAAACATTGAATAATAAGGATTACATAATTGAATTTGAGAAATTCAACGAGATTGCATAGAGTTGGAAAGCTTGAGATGAAGTGTCTGCAGTGCTATCAATATATTAATACAAAACACGGTTTTAGCATTTATCGTTAGCTTAATTAATCTTAAATCATTGCTTTTCACTTGAGTAACTTGAAGGCGAATTGTAAATAAAATTATTAATAATTTGATAGATTTAAAAAATAGAGAATAAGCTAATTAACAAGATATTATTATTCTAAAAAATGAATGATATGAGGGAGTGTAGAGCTAAACCTTTTAACTTTCTTCAGCAAAACAAATCATTTTGAATGAAAAGTTAAAGTTTTATACTATGAAATTGACGTATACAATCTGAATGATATTTTGGGCATACGCCACAAGCAATTGCTGCAATTTTTTTATAAGGATACTGTAAACTATCAAGTAAATACGGCCTGCTACTAAAGGGAGCATATTGATCAGCAGATTTAATTACCAAATTACCATCTAATGATACTAGGCCATCATCGTCTGTATTTCCTTCAACGAGCATATACATATTGCAAATCGCTGAAAATGAATACAGATTACATCAGATTAGTTCTACAGAGATTACAGTAGTATACTATGTATATCGCAATTCGTATATTTCACTAATTTTAAAAAAATATAATTTTAGAATAAATACAATTTTTTGAACATTGTAATCTTTGCGCTCGCTTGCATAACAATATCACTTTTTTTTGTTTACTTTTAATTTATGATTAATCTCATACCATTATTTTTGTCACAATAAGATGCCAGAACAATATGCACGGAAGCATTAGTAGGAATGTAGCAAATGTTATCGATATCACATACGCACATAGAACGGCTTCTGGCACATGTTAAAGTGACTGATTGTAGAGCATTTGATAAAATATCAAACCAAGACGAACTACTTACTGAATTATAAAAATACATTGTACCATTGCCACAATCGCAACGTCCTGAATTGGTATTGCCAAAAAATAAAAGGAGTAATTGACTGTACCAAAATGTTAACATTTTTAAAAGGTTTTCTAAGCGGTACCACAATACCAAAGTAAATTCTTTCATTTATCGTTAAATTCAATGCTAACAAAAAAGAATTTTGATTGATCTCATAAAGTACTGTAAACTAGGTTTATTTGCTTGCTATTAATATATACTAACAAAATAAACAGTATACTATCATTGCTGAAAGTTAATACTAACCACTGTAAGCTGCTGAATTAGATCCTCCAAGAGGTCCAAATGAAACATCAAAAGTTTGATTAACTGTATCTGATACAAAAAGACTGCTTGTTTGAGACGGTTGAATACATTCTTAAAATAATGAATTTACAAAGAAAATATTACTGGTGGTAGGTATTTAATTCAGAATCTGTAATAAAGTTAACCTTATACGTTTTAAGTATTTAATTTCTAGCAGTACTTTACAATAATAAAATCGAATTACTAACCTTGTGTATCAAAAACTTTATTTAGTGTTGATGGAACAGTGCTTTTTACTAATAATGTCGTTGGTTTTGGAGCTACTGTAGTAGTATTTGTCTTCAAATCAGCAGCAGCAAATTGAAAAGCTTTTTGAGGAAGTGTTGTAAACTCGGCGTGTATGGTACTTTTTGAGTCTGAGAATCTGCCTTCCTTGTTATTTCCAGATTGTGTTAGTCTGATCCCAGGATTTCTCGTTAAATTCATAGATGCCGATTTTATTTTATTATCTGGAATTGTTGATGTGGCTTGTACACTATCCGCTTCATGTGCTAATGTAGTAACTACCATACTCGCTTGACTTGTTAATCTGTTCTCATTGTTATTTTGCATCTTGGTATTGCCATTTTGAGAATTAAATATGACAGATTTTGCATCATTTTCTGAAATCGCAAACTTGCCTTATTCGATCATATTATCTTGGCCTTTAAATTTGAGTAGTACATTATTTGTTGAGCTCATTAATCCAGATGCTATTATATTATTATTTTTACTTATTGATTCAAGTTTTACGTTTTTTATCGTACTTGTAGAAGTGACTTTCATGCTATTTTCTGAATTTGTTGATCCAATAGTCTTGTAGTTATTTCTAACATTTGAGAAAAGATCTTGATCTCTTAGATCGAGAGATGCTTTATTTTGTAAATTTGTAACTTTTACGCTACTTTCCGATCTTGTTAATTCATTTTTGGTACTGTCCTTTATTCTCGTATGACTGAATTCTGTGACAGTCATTGGTATATTTACAGAAGCGGTTGATTTGGGGATTTTAGTTGAGATATGTCCCACTCTCCATTTTTCATTGCTGATGGCTTTAGTGCCTAAATTTTAGAATTTAATATTACTTAGATTTAAAGGTGTAAGCATCAAAATTAGACATTTCAATCAATAAGAGAATAACTTTGCGTTGTTCGAGTAGAACTTGAAGTTAGTGTTCTTGCATTGGCAGATAACACTGCTGCATTACGTGGGCGCATTTGCATGCAACCATAAATACTGTCGTAAACATGAAGTATAATTATCAGAAACAAATATGATACCATTCTAAAAATCTGGAATTGTTAAATATATATATATATATGTCGATGAAAGTAATCAGAAAAATATTTTTTGCTTTCGAACATTGCAAATATATTCTAGAAGCTTTGAAATAAAGTTTAAATTTAAATAAAAAATGTTATTCAAGCACTACAGTAAGAAGTGTGCAAGGAATTTTCATCTGTTTACGAAAGTTCGAGACAATTAGCTACTGTAGGATATTCGCCATGTAATAAACCTATGACTAGAAGTAACTATTAGACTAGTACTGTAAAAAGTGGTAAATTTATCAAGATGTTTTCCAAAAATATTTGCAGACTTTATGACAAAATATATTTACATAAAAGTTTCAGTCAAAAAAAAAGCAAAATATTCACATTAAAAAATTAAATGCAAAATTAAGCACAACCTGTGAATGACACTTATCAAAAGTAGTCGTTGATGGGTCAAATCATGACTATCTTTTAATAATTACTATAATCGATTATTTCAAATAAATACGTTACAGTCGAATGATCGATTACGATTCAAAATGAATACATTTCGATAAATGTGAGTGCACTCGGTTTGCACGTGTGTACTTGCGCGCGTGTGTGTATACCTTTGAATGTGTGTGTAGAGTGTTCTGATTTTATCATTTATCTAATCAATAAAAATTTTCAACATTTTATTCCACTGTTTTTTCTCATTTTCTACGTGTTGTAGTAAATTTTTTAAATACAAAAATGAATTTGTTGAATTAATAAAATTATAATAATTGTTGAAAGAAAATATTCTGAAAATAATTTCCATAGCAAAGTTGATAGGCAGTATTGTTTAATTTCTTCTCAATGTCATAATTATAGTTCAAAAATGGTACTATAGATGATCATAAGATTTTCTTTCTAATGACTGTAACTTGTATTCATCAACTGCAAAAAAGTAAAATTATTTATTTGTAATAAATTGATTCTAAGTCCATTCACAGTTAGCAATTGCAAGGCATATAAATAAATTTTTTCATCCAAATATGCATTAAATTTGAATTTATTACAAACTTACAAGAAGATATTTTGCAAGAAAATAGCGCTTGCAATTTTGTTAACAAATTGAAAATCGAAATTTTTGAATTTTTTTTGAATGCATTTCGCAGGTTAATTTTTATCGAAAACAGAAAATATTTATTACTAAACTTAGCAGTAATGTTGATCAAAAAAGATACAAAAAAGCAAAATTATTAGATATGATAAAAATATTTGTTGAAATTATTAGAATCACATTTAGCAAATAATAGAGATTAATTCATGAATAACTGATAGTTAAGCAAACAGTTTCTTTCTTCTTGAATTACAAATAATTTATTGCCACAGTGAAATCTTGAATACTTATTTACAAAATAACAGATGTACAATTCAAGCCAGTATTCAATGTTTCATGATGGAAATGAACAATGATTGCAGATCACTCGTTTTGGATTTTCAATTCGTATTCCACACAAAAATATAAAGCAAGCAAGCATTTGATGGAAATTAGTCCAAATGCTTGAATCAGAAATGGAGTAGTAAATGCGATGAAAGATTCTGTATGCTTTGAAATAACAAAATTATTAATTTGCATTAAAAAAGTTTTGATTAATTGATGCATTAAATATAGACAGTGATTGCTTATAAGAACATCATGGATATTACATATTGTTTTATTTTGCAAAATTGCATAAATAAGCATTGCAATAATAATTTGTTATAATTTTGCATTGTTGATTGATCTACTGATCATTGCTGTACTTCGTTTTGGACCATTATTTTAAAGATTTTACATGACACACAAATCAGATTTGCATTAAATAATTTATTGTTTTGTTACGGATTAAAAAAACTAAAGTTTTAGTTCAAAACTAAAATTAAAAGTCAAAGACGAATATTAAGTGAAAGATTAATAAATGATTAGATGTGTTAGAATACAATTAAAAACATATCAGAACAAATAATGTGCCAAAAATGAGTAGCTTATTCATTGATAGAAAGTAAAGTAAATATTTCAATTTCATGACAATGAGACAATTTAAATGAAACAAAAACTGATCAACTACATGTAATAAATCATACAAAACAAAACGACAAATTGAGTTTACAAAATTAAATGCATAATGCTTGCATAAATTGCAACACCAAGAATATTGCAATCCATTTACAGTTGCTACCATATCAGTGCAGTTCAAAAAATGAAACTCTATCATTTCTCCACATGTGAATTACTTTACTTTAAGTCAGTTCTTTGTACTGCTCAAACATTTCTATACTTCTTCACATGATATAGCTTCAGATTGCACATTTGACGAACTCCGTTAGTTCTTCACAAAGTGGCATTCAAAGTGGCAGCAAATAAAAACTATGAATAAACACGCACTCATTTGCTGCAATGATTAGAAGAATTTGGAAATAAACAGCCCAAACAAAAAAGAATACATTAATACAAAAATGGCATTAAAGAGGCGTCAAATACAAAAATTACAAAATTGAAAAAATTACGAAAAAGTATTTTTTGGGTCAAAATGTGTTTGATTTTTGAAGTACTGACCTATCTTTTTTCACGCAAGCTAACTATCGTTAGTTTAGTCTAGTTGATTTAGTCTCTTTTCTACCTCTTATCATTTGGCATTTTGCTTGACTCAATATCAAAAATTGTATTTTGTTCTAATTTTCCATTATTTTTCAAGCAATTTTTCAATATTTTTCCATCGTTAATTTTAGCTTTCATTGACTTAAGTTCATCAAATCAAATCAGTGATAACTTGTGCTTTACTTTTTTTTGACAAAAAAATATGATGTTGTCCGAAATGACACATGCTACTTGAAAAAAAAACTTTTGATATTGAGTCATACAAAATCAGCCAAATGGAGGCAAAATTTTTGCCACCTTTTCCATGCAAATAAATTCAAATTTAAATTAACCTCTACTTCTGAATATTTCTTACATCATTTAGCTAATTTGTTAGTGCCATTACTGTTTGCCGAACTGCACTTTATTCATTCCAATTATCCAAGTATTAATTGATAAAGATTTTAATGCTAATCTATCCAGTCTCAGTTTTTAGATTATAAGGAGTCAATATTATGTATGCATGCATCGTAATCATTCTCTTAACGGTGCTTCACGAATAAGTATTGCAAAGTGTTCTGGAAAAAAGCCGATCGGAATGATTGGTGAAAGATTCAAGGGCTATTAGACTGATTTTTCATGTAAATTTTGATCGAAATAAAACAATTATTTGCGAAAATAAAAACTAATTTTCAGCAAAAGAATCAAACAAACATGAGCAAACAGAAAAAATTGAATGGGATTTGGAAAATGCAGCAAGCAGTAGTTGTTGGGTACGGGCATTTCACGTCAACCGACGTAAACGAATGGTAAAAAAACAAAAAGAAGAGACATAAATAGTTAACAAAGGCATTTATCAGCTATTTTATAATAAAGATGCAAAAACAGCACTAGGCATAATTATCCGAGAAATAAGGAAAGTGGTAACAAAAATGGAAGCAGGAAGAACTTCTGAACCTTTTTTTAGCTTTTAAAAATACCATCAGAAATATTTTCACTTTAATTCAGATTTCCAGAACTTTCAAGTATTTAAAATATTTTCTACCCATACTGAAAATTAAAATTTATATGAAATTTGAAAGAATAAATTGCTCATTCGGAATTTCGATAATAAGTGTTTTTTTTACCTGAAATTTTTTTAATATGGTTAGAAATAAAAGCTGAACTACGACGTCTAGCTATGCAAGGAAGAAACGAAAGAAATTATCGGATGTGTTATTAAATCAGAAAAAAAAGTTAGTCTTCATATTTTTCCATCATCGACGAACAACGCGAATTGATCAGGTAATATTGTCAAAATTCCTTCAATTGATTAAAATTCTGATACAATGCTGTGCCGTAGTGTTAAGTAGTAATATACTCTTATAATGCTTAGCGCTTCAAGCTCAAGAGGGGTTGAGATAGATCATATTTGACCTACAGATGCAGACTAAAAATTTTTAGAATTCACCTGAACCAGTATCGAAGATGCTTCGGGATCCTCATTAAGTATACAAAATTATCTTAAATATCACAATAAAATACTTCGATTAAGATCATCCAGAATTTAATCACTTGCATCAGAGGAAAATTCAAATTAGTCTGCTCACTAGTATGTGTATTTTCATTTTTTTAAAACATTTTCATTTGGTCAACTGCTAGCTAATTTTATAACAAAATTTCAATATTTTAAATAAAAGGAACTAAAACTTCTAGTCAGAAAATTTTTGACAAAATTGTTAAACTTAATTAGTTTAGTTTTCAAAAAGTTTTGTTCTTCAACAAAGAATTAAGGATTATAAGCTATGATTATAACGCTCATTCCAACATTTATAACTATAAAGTTAGTTTCAATTACAGTAAGCAGCTATTTGCATAAAAACATAATTGTATTTTTTCAATGATTATCACTTAATAGAGTATAACTTTTTAAGTCTTCCATAACAGCAAGAATCCGAACCCGCAAATATGAATTCATGACTCTGTGCATCATAACTGATATATCAGAAACAATTACAAGAAACCAACTAAATACAAACTCTTTAGTTTTGCATAGCCAGACTGCTTGTATACTTCACTGAATCCAACAATAACAGACCCATTATCAAACTGCCTCAGTTCAGTAACTGAGTATCAATGTCAGTTCCCCTTTACTGCTTCCCAATGCCTTTCCTTTCAAAATTCTTATCAACCTTCAGGTCTCTTTTAGTACAGTACAATTTCTCACATCTTGTCTTCATTATCTCATTCGTCACTATTCTGATATGCAGCTGGAAGCTTTGTCCCATCTTATCAGTTCTTAATCAACTGAAATCAATAACCAAACACTTATCAACTAACGTATCCTCTTAAACTGGTCTCTCTCCTTCTATCGTTGAAAATGACTGCGCTGCAAGCACGTATGCATTCTAACTCACCGAATGCAACAATGTATGAAATATTAGTCTCGCTCATTACATCAACTTATTCTAGCAAATTGAGAGACAGGAAATTTTCAAGACCTTATAAATCTCTGAATAGCGCATTAATAACATAAAGGTGTCGACCTCTAAGTTATCTAAGTTCTTTTTTTTAATTGTTTTAACTCTCTGCCCTTCATTTGTAAGTTTAAGTATTGACAACCTTTGCAATCATTAATTTTTGTGTGCAGTGCATAATTTCTTGTTACAAAATGCTAACTGCTGTTCTACCAATCATTACAGAATTTTCTTACTATCTCAGTTACAAATGTTAGGTCAGCCTTCATTTTCAGTAGGATATAAATTTTGTTTCTATTCTGTTACCGGATAATGTGAATAAACTCATAAGTTGTGTATTTATTTTACTTCATCTTCATGACATATTATTAACATTCTAAATCTGCAGCACTTAAGGTGATGGTATCTGGAAGTAGTCTTTGACCGTACTCATCCTACTAAGGATCTCTATTTACAAATCTTTGGATCTAAGGTCTTTATATTACTCCGTTTAGTTCCAAGTATGAGCTATAATTGCAGATGGCAGCATCAAGGTTTTATAAGCGTTTTCTTCGATTAGCAAACTGTTGGCCGCTTGAACATGAAGTATCAAGGCCAGTGGAACGAAATGCATCGGTATTTTTAAAGAATGAAATTGAGCGTATATTCCGAAAAGAACGAAATCCGTTCAATGATGATCTCTGCGAAAGACGACTGCGAAGTATAATTTTTATTTTTTTAGTAAAAAAATGCTTGCTTTTAATAGTTTTATATCTTTACTTTCGGACATACTTCATATTTGGATATGTTTAGTATTTTAAAGCTTTGGTTTTGTTATTGAGTTTGTGGTATTAAATGTTCTTTGTTGGCAACATCAAAATGCATCTTTGTAAATGTTATAACTAGTCGTAACGGAATTTTGTCTTTTTAGTTTTGTGAAATGTATTTTTCTGAAATCTGTTCAATCGTAGATACCATGGTTAGCACAGTTGCTGCAAAAATTTTGTATTCATCTAAAATAAATTAATGAAGATAGCATTATTACCTTTAATAATAGTAATTTTTCATAACTATCGGCACTTTGATCAACTTGTTTTTCAAGTGATTCTCTTATCATTTAGCACAGAAAACATTCACCTAACTTCATTTACGATTTGTTTCATTGAGATCATATTTTTGTACTTGTTAAGTACTTTTATTTTTGATCAATTTATAAGCTGATTTTATATAAGTGCGTCATTATTATCAATTTCTGTCTTAATTAAGGCGATCACGAAATACGGAAATTTTAAATATTACGTTGTATGTGATGCTAATATGATTTCAGGTCTGGAGCAGCTTGTTTCAAATATTCACTTACAAAACTTGCCATGTAAATATAAAGCGGGTGCCATGGCTTTACCTCTGAAGCAATTAAGGAAGATAAATTCAACTCAAGGACGTTTCGTTTTGGGTTTGGAATCCAATTTGACGCAAGGGGATGAAAATGAGAAGACTTTCATTGATAAATTGTATCTTAAGATGAAGGCAAGAGCACAACGTAAAGAACTTTTGAAAAGTTCTGCTCTCGAGTTTTTTGAGTTAGACAACTCGATTTCACCTTTGCATAGTAAAAAGTTAGCTAACCAGAAAATTGTTAGTTCTTAAATGTATTCATCTGAAATAGATTTAGCTCGTAATAAAATGAGTATGTATATAGTTATTCTTGTGATTGATTAATAAAAGAATAATTTTGAAAATTATAATATTTTTGCTTGCTTGCTATCAACTATTCGCACTGTACTTACTATTTTGTTCGTCTCAAACAGCTCGTTTTATAAATGTAATCAAAAGCTGGTAAGGTCCGTGAACTTTTTTGTTTCAATTCTGTTGTGCTATCTGCCGCATATTTTTAGCCCTTTTATTTCAACTACGCCCATCATAGCGTGTTTTCATTTTTCTTATTTATTTTCACATTGTTACATGTTTTTCCTGCTAGGTTATCAACAGTTTGAGACTCAACAAATGACTTGATTCCATACTTTATCATGGCTTCGAATGTGGAAGGTTTGTTTTACGCTGAATTTTCTGTTTACTTCATGATTCAGAAAGCATTGGGGGTTTCAGTCTTTGCTTTTTATTTTGAAGAAATTTTTGGACAACAGTTTAAATAATTTCGGCTGCTTTTATACTCTTGAGCTTCTAAGCTGTATTTTTCCTTAATTGCTAGACATAATAGATTGAAGCGTATAGCAGTTGATGTATCCCATAAAAATATACTGTTTATGCACTTTACTGGCAAGTAACTCAGTCCCATTTATGTTGCAACAAGGGATAAATTTAGAACGCTTTCGTAACAGAACTATAAGTTAGCTGAATCTTGTTTACTTTCTGGTGCTTTGGGAAATTTTCACTCAATTTCATGTGGGAATTTCATCTTTAATTATATTACAACTTCTAACTTAATGTCTCTTTGTAAAGAAGGTTTCAGTTTTGAACTGGCAGCGTTTCTTCGTTGCGGCTGGCATTCCAGGTGCAGTTGCATTAAAGTATTCAAAGTCGTTTGCTGAACAGCGAATGAAATTCACAATGTTAAAAGAACTAGATAAATCAGTGCTGATGGATCTCGGTGTTACAACAGTGGGTGATCAGGTATGCACATTCTTTATGGTGAATGATGCCAAGTTTTTTCTTATAAAGAAATTGACTTAAGGTGACTATGCCTTAAGGGGACTACTTTGTTAATCTCTTCTAGCAGTCCTAGTATCTTCAGATCACTTATTACTCGGCTCGTCTTTTTTCTCAATGTAGAATATTCTTTCAAGTCTGTTTCTGTTAGCAAATTTAGATTGCAATTTTACAACAAGCCCGAAAGTGGAAGGTATCTGAGAAGGAAATAACCGAAAGTCAACCAAGAGTAAAATCTGACCTCTTAATTGTCAAGAATGGTACTTCATGTTTTTTACATCATAGTTGATGACAAAAATAAATTAAATCAAAGTAGTTAAATATTCAGCATCAACTAAAACAGATCTTAGATTTTCAAGATAGTGTGTTTATAGTCCATGCGAGTTTCAGAAAAAAAAAACATATCGACTGCGCCAGACCGTGACGATATTTATCACATCCATCTTCCAGCTGGTACCACACCAAAAACCCAGGCCATTCTTCAAAAGCATAATATGTTGAAATCTGCAGGTAGGGTATCCTGGTATGATTATAATATGCTTGTCGTTGTGGAAACGTTGGTTCATCATTTTTCAGAGTCTGAAACAAAAGATGGTAAGAAGTAAATTTACGAACTAGTAACTGTAGTAATTTATTCATCTGCACTCATTGAAGTTTCAATAGCATTATCGTTTTCAGGTTTGCTAAAGCGTGGATCTAGTGGTGTGCGACGATCCGGGAAAGAAATTGTTCGGATACCAAGCCACAATAATAAATGGAATCACAGCAACATGGCGCGGAAAACATCCAAAGATGTTAATATGGTTGACTCATCAGGTAAATACTGAGTTTGTCGTTTTTAGTCTCAATAGTTAATTGATTCAATGTTTCATGATATATTGTTTTTCTTTTCCTTTTTTCTCTCTATTTATAATTGTTTGATGATCTGAAATGAACAAGTTACAGAAGTGTCATCTACAACGGATCAATTTTACGATCTCTTAGGTGTTAAAGGGCTTGTTTCTGACCAACTAAATGTACAAAAACAGTATGTCAGGTGAATTTTAGTGGAGAACAATGAATAAAAAGTCAAGAAATTCGAAATATTTATTCACGATTAGGAGAAATTCATTTCTCCATCAATATTTTATTTAATCGTTGTTCCTCTTTGTCAGATTTGGACTTGTATTTTAAGTTTGCATAAATCAAATATGTATTTTAGAGGCGATCGACTGAATGTACCATCATCATCTACCATTTTCGAACGTGCTGTTAATGGAAGTGCATCAAACTGTGGCTCAGAGCCAATTTTTCGTGTAAGAATCAGCGAAATGGGGAAGAAGAAAACTGCCGGCTTCCATGCTTCCAAAACCACTTTAGTTAGTAACAAAAGCTATTCTTTCAGCGTGTCTTGAGACTTAATCTTTATTCAGATCTTATAGTGTCCTGTAATAGTAATAGAATAAGTTGGGAGTGGAGCTAATTATGTTTGCTCTCAATTTTCGTGTTGTGGAAAAAGGATTGTTAGCCGGTTTCATGCATTTTTTCAGGTGCGACCCAAGTTCAGTGGAGTTGTTAAAAAACGGACTGCGCAGTTCAATCAAACCGTGAAGAACTATAAAACGCGTGTGGGAGAAAGAAAAAATCATGCTGCAGAGACATTGCGGCTATCTGTTTTTGATCGATTGAGTTGATTAATATATTTACTTGAGAATTTATTGAGGAGAAGCTTTCTGTCGGTCTGATGTATGACCAAGAAAATTTGACAGCACATGTTTTTTCTTTGCTAAGTTTAATTCATTTCTTGCAAGAAAAATTTCATTGTTCTTATTAAAACCTAGGAGTCACTAACTAACCTGCCTTGTTTTTATATTAAAATTCCTTCTCAGACTTCTTGTTTATCATCGTTTAAGTACGTAATATTATTGCTAATATCATTTTCTTTGTATTTTGTTTCTTTCCATATTTTCTTTTTCACAGAGTCATATTTGCTTGCTAGATACAATATTTGTAAATCAGGTTTAGTCGATAAAAACGGACGTTCATCTTTTGTATTTAATCGTTATACTCAAGTTTTATTCTTTTTGAATATTTTTTCTAATTCAGTTTTTCTGTACTCTAAGAAGTGGTACTCTAAAAAATCTGTCCTTCGCCCTAATTATAGATTTCAAAAAACTTATTATTGAATACGATGAGCAGGGAACGTTTAATACCACTAGAAACAATGGAGAAAGATTACTATTTAGATGATCGTAATGATTGGTTTAGTGATGGCGAGCGAGAAAATAGTGAAAGGTAGAAACTCGTTCATGTTTTAAAAATCGTAATTCTATGTAAAGTAGAGAGTAAATCAATTGTTTCAAGGATGAATTTCTATGCTGAGTCTGATATTTTATAAAGCCATTTTTTACTACTCGGGGTCAAAATATGGCGTGCTTATTACCTGATCTTTCCTGTTATTAAATGATCTAGTTATCGTGTTTAATATTTTCTCCAGCTCTGATGATGGTGATGATGGCAAGGAATTTCTTCGGTCAAGTGGCAAATTTTCCGGATGTAGAAGTGCCCGTAAGTATTTTCTGTCTGCATGATCAAGTCAAATCAAATGTGGCATAATTCGTTTTTTTCAATCAGTCGATTGAATATACTAATTTTAAATAGCTATATTGCTTTCAGCGTGTAAAAAACTATCTAGAAAAGATGAATTCGAATCTGATATGGATGATGAACTCGATAACGATTTTGTTACATTCACAGCAAAGATATTTACCCCGTCAGGGAAACGAAATGTGGCGACATTAAAAGGTATATTTTAGCCTGATTTATATATTATTTGCATCCATAATGTGGTGGTAATTGGACTCTGAGGCTTCAGTTTTATTAGGTTGAACGTTACATGAAATTTAAATCACTCTTTTATATCATTTTAATTTATCTGAGATCTTGAAAGATTTTATTTTGTATCTATAGTTCTTTGTACCAAAAAGAATGGTTCCGGTGAGCTGGCACAGTGCTCTTTTACGTCTTTCATGGGGCTTTTCACAATCTCATCTGTTTCGAATTGTTTCCTACTATGATTCTTGATGCTGTTTATCTCCGTTCATCCTCCATTTTCTTCCCGGATTTTTGATTTCCTGACTGTAAGACTTCACAGCGTTCTTCTTTTTGGTTCCGAACTCTTTTTGCAGCAATCTTCCTCTCTATTCGTCTCACGCGTGTCATTCTTCTTTACCTTTTTCCCTTGCTTCGTCTTTGTTGCTTCGGAAGTACTGCAAAAGGGGTTGCATACGCTTCATCGTTATAGTCTCTATTGGTTCACATGTCAATTTATCAAATGTTAACATTTACTTTCATTACGCTTTTTTTACCACAAAGGTTTACTATTTTATTTTCCGTGTATGCTAAACTTCCAATTAGTTTTCTAGTCATAAATTACATGAAAGAGTTGAATATTTGAATGTAATAATTAATTCTTGTTTTTATCCTGTCATCAGATATTAATTATCATTACTGCATTCATTCTTATTAGTTTAACAAATTTTATTTTGCATTCATAATGATGTTTATGAAACCACTGAAAATGCACTTTTTTATAGTTTCAAATAAGTCCGCATAATTGTTATTTGCAGAATCACCTGTAAACAGTGGTATTCCTGCCTTGGTTGATGAGATGGAAGCAGAAAGTAGCGGGGAGAATATGCAAAAAAAAACCTTTGTATCGGATGGTAATAATTTCCGAAGACATATTTCTTGCAGATTAATTATATTTTGTGTAGTTACAAAATTGGGTAGTTATCTGTAATGCTACTTATGATATTTTTCTGTTCATTTGATTCGGGATTTAAAAAAGATTCGACACAATATTTTTAAGTGTTCGTCTTTCAAAAGCCGATATTTCTTTGTTTCTTTGCATTCAGATAGCGCTTTATCTGCAGGTGACTGGAATCCATCAAAAAAGTCTAAAAAATCGGTTAGTGAATTAAAGATAATACTCAGCGAACATTTTTACTTACTGAAACTTCTAGAATGTGCCTTCCGTATTTTGCATTAGTTAATTTTCCAGGTAACTTTTAAAGAGGACATTAGCGATCCGTCGAAATTTATTTTAACGGAAAAATCTTCGTTTGATGATGAAAACAATCTATTGCGTAAGGCAGTAAATAAGATTGGAGAGTCAACAGAAAAAGAAGTTGTTGAATTCTATGATTCTGAAGAAGACGAAGACAACGAACTATGGGTATGTCCATTTTCATCACTATCATTTGAAATTCAATCTTGCTGCCATTTCTTCCTTTGGAACAAGCTCTTTAATCGCCTGTAATTTTAGGTACGCCATCATCGAGAACAGCTGAAAATTATAAAACCAAGAAATAAAAATGAGTCAGATTTTGGAGAAGATAATCAAATCAATGAAAAAGTGAATCGTGATAGTGAAACAGATGCAGTACTCTCTTGTCCGGCTTGTATGTCTCTGTTAACTAGAGACTGTCAAAAACACGAATTTTATCATAATCAGTACAGGTATTTTATTTTTAAACCAATTAAATTGTGTTGTCAGTCACATGTAAAAAAAGTACAAGAAATCAAATTCATTGTTTTCTAGCATATTTAATAGAAAAATTTGAGAAATAACATATGTTTTTCCTTTGATCACCGCTTAGTATGACTTTTTACATTTCAAGAAACAATCCAAGATCGTTTAAAGAAGTAAATTAATGTTCAATGTCTGGAAAGTTATCTTTATAAGATATATCAAAGCTAAGATTGCTTAATTTTTCCAATTATTATTCCAGTGACGACCAGCTTCTTAATTTGATAAAAATTCTTGGTCGAAAGTTAATGAACTAATACAGTATACATTATATACCTGTTACAAATTAATGTTTTTAGAGCAATTTTTGTGGAAAATTGTGACGTAATAGAAAATGAAGTGCTCTTTTTACCTCAATCAAGAAAGAATGAACGGAAAGCGCGGAAGAATACTGCAGGTTCTTTCTTTTTGTGATTTTTGTGAATACTTATTATTTATTTCAGGCTTTCACTTTTCATTGGAATATCTTTAATTTAGGGATCAGACCGAATGCTGTTGTTAGTCCAGGTGATGTTCTGAATATCCCAAAAGAAGATTTATTCCATCCGGTGCATTGCAGTGTTTGTCAAACAAAAATTGGAGTGTATGATTGTGAGGAAGTTTTTCATTTTTTTAATGTTCTCACTGGATTCGCTTAATGTTTATTTAACTTAAATAGGGGTTTTTGTTTTGTGAAAGTTGTACTATTAAATTCTATAGTTTGTCTCTTTTATTTTCATGAATTTCAAGCTAGTTTTTGCATTTGTGGTTTTATGGAATTTTCGTAGCCTTTATCATTTAGTCATGAACTCGTAAAGTTTTTAATATTTTCTTGGCATTATTCTGTTAGAATTTTTTTATCTAATGTCAAAATATTTAAAAATTTTGTAATCGAAGTCGTTCCTTTCATATTTCTGAATTTCCCTCACTGTTTTCTTCTATTTGTTTATTCTTGAAGGATATTTTCATCTTTTTAGACTAAAGCGAAGTGATGATATGTTTTCTTAAAATTTATCGGGAATAGAGGTACTATTAAATGTAGTGAAGAGAAATTACTTGAGATACTGCTTGAACTTTTTTAAATTATAAAATTTTTAAGTTCCAGCAGAATTAGATAAACTGAGGATCAGTTAGCTATGGAACAAAGGTAGTGGTGATATTTGATATCAAGATGTCATAAATCGTGTTTAAAAAGTTGTTTGTTTACTATTGCAGGCAAGTATGGTATCAGGGTCATATGCTACTATAGCACTTGAAATTGCTCATGAAATATAAGCGTGAAATGAAAAGTAGTGAAAAGCCATGAGTTGATAAAATTTTAATGAAATTTGGATATTCCTTGTCTGTAATGGCATGGACTTTCTTAAATGCTTTGACTACTTCCAATTTTATGTGCACACAAGTGAGACAGTGTTCGGTTTGCGTATTTCGATCTAGGATGTCAACAAAAAGTGGATAGTGATGGTTACGATGTTTGTCTGGTAATGAAGTATATGTTGAAGGGAAGCTGAAATATTCCTCTACATAAGTTTAACACTCTGTCGAAAGTTCGGATATATAAATAGAGAAAATTGTTAATGCAGTTGAAATAAAAGCAAAAAGTGTCAATAAACTTGTCAAATAACTTTTTCGATAATAGTGTCTTTTCGTAAGTTGCTTTGGCATGCTTCATATTTTGGTTAATTCGCATTTTGGTCATTTTAATGTATTTGTATCATGATTATAGTGCTGTTCCTAGCATTTAATATTTATATGATTGAAGATTGTGTTAGTAAGTCTAGATTCTTCTGAGGAAGTACGATAACAAAATGTGCCAAGACGACATAATTTTATTTCTTGATTAGGAATATAATCAGGAAAGAATTATGGTTAGAAAAATGGATTTCTGGCATGGGTAGTTGAGTACAATTTCTTTGCTTTACACTAAGTAAGATTGTTTAAGATCAAATTATACTACAAAGGCTGTCCTTTGATTAAAATGCAGAAATATTTGAGGATTTGCTAAATGCACAAAGCAGTTTTCCACTTCTGCCTGTAGAAAGGTACGATTAGAAGATATGTTTTCTTGACATTTTATTGAAAGAATTGATTAAACTGGATGAGTACGGCACTCCTATCCAACCAATCCATCAGAAAAGTCGTTCAGCAGTAAAACATGAAGGAAGCAGTTGGAATATAGAATGCATTGATAAGTACCTTGTTAAATGTGATCATGTTTGCAGGAATTTTCTTGTGCCACGTAACTTTTAAAATACGATAGTTTGAGTTGATCGGTTTTTCTGTTTGAATTATAGTGAATGCTAAGATTTGTCTACTTCCGTTAGATACACTAATGGAAGTGTAGTCTGTTTTCTTAATATTCAAATTTTTGTTTCAAGAATAACATCAATGAGTCACAATCCAAGTGCATTAGTATGTTTAAACCTTGTCAGAAGTTACATCAAATGCTTAGCAATCTGTGCCAAATAAATTGGATTAGTGTGCATTTTCTGAAGATTCTATCAAGGGATGTTATGAGGAATAGCCTACATCAAAGGAATGAGTAACTTACAGTAGCATACGCTCGTTGAAATAGCGTGTGGTTAAACTGCTTTCAGCAATGCTGGACTTGTACATAATTTGTTTGATTACCTCAAACAAATTTAGACGTGATCAAAGTAGCTTTGGTCATACATTCTGTACGGTATATGCTACACCCAGTCATTATATTTCCTCACAAAATCAATACTCGTTCCTACAAAATTGAAAAGATCAAATTGTAGCTAACGTGGTTTCCGTGTACCTCTTATTTTAGAGAATTTATTTATTTCAGTGTCAATCCTACAGTCCTCTGCTAAGTCACATCAAATCTCTTAAAAAAAATTTAGATATCGCTGCTTGAATTTCCTTGCCATAAAATAAAATTAAAAAGAGTGGGGGATAAAGAAAAATTTTTTAACTTTTTTTCAATAATGGAAAATTCCATCAAATAATACTAATTGCTTGCTTTATTATTACTATTTTTCGTATGGACACAGTTATTCTGCTTATTCTTTTAGCTCGTACCTCTCATACTATGATTCACGCAACATACGGAACTACATTCCGTATGTTACGTGAATCATAGTACAGATCATTCATTGAATGTTTGTATTACTGCTCACGAAATATTTTTCCAAAATGGAATCAAACACGTAGAATAATTCGTGACTGCACAAGCATATACTAACTTTATTGCATCATTATGTGCTGATATTTCTACGTTATTTAAGTGGATCTTAAATAACCATTAAGCATTAAATTTTTGTTTACAAATAAATTATAATTACAAATTTTATCGAATTTGCGGCATAAAAATCTGAAAACTGCATAGTACACCAGAACATTATATGTTTCCAAAATATTAAACAAAATACGTCTAAATTTATTTCGGATTTATTAAAACAAACTCATAAAAACTCACCGCAATTATAATAATTTGGAATTCTTAATGTTACTTTAATTTCGAAAACGTCTTATCAACAAATTTTTAAATAAAATCAAAACACTTCTTCAGCACGCATTTATCTTTCGACAAAAAAATTTATTGTGCCATGTCTTAATTCTACACAGCATTATGTCATACCACTAAAAATGTCTCTTTTCTTGATCATTGCGTAAGTTTTGCTAACGCAGTTAGCAATAGAAACGAGACAATAATCTCACGTTTTACAAAACTTGAGATTTATTCGTGGAAAGTGAATAAATGACACTAAGCTTTGCACAATTTCATGCTTAATTTGTGAATACAATTTTTGTGCTAAACAAAGTTTTTCAAGTTAGTTTGGTCTTAGTTTTCACTACAGTTCCTTCTGTCATTAATTTTATCAACCATCAACAGCATTACTGTTGGGATAAAAGATGCAGTTACTATTAATATGATATATACTTATCTTTAAGCAGTTCTTCCATAATAGTTAGTATATTCGCTTACAAACAAACACAAGTTAGTAATATGGCATTTCTATAGTTACTATCCCAAAATCTGTAATTTAAATTAGTGCTTCACAGTTATTCACTTGTATACTTGATAATATTAAAAAAATATTTTCGTGATATGGTATTTTCTGCAGCACATTTAGTTTATTATTAATAATTTCTGAGTTTACAAAGATTGATTATTTATTCTGACTACATTCAGTAATGTTTACATTGAAATTACCAAATGATATATAGATAAAGTCATCGTTTTACATTATTTTAGAGGTTAGTCTATTTTTTATACATTGTACTGTTAACTAATATAATTGATAAAATATCATACTGCTAATGCCATAATGCTTATAAATAAGTAATGTTCTTGAATAAATTTAACTACCACTCTGGGCATTATCAACTGAAGTTAATTTGGGTGGGAACTGCGCATTGCAAATTACAATATCTATTGTAGCTACCAAATTGAATTAAGCAAATTTAGCACTTTATTATTAGATAGCTCATTTTGCCGCTATGTTGCGATAAAATTCCATAACTTCCACAAAACCTAATCACTAACTTACTAACAACACAAATAACTTTCTTTTCTCGCACTTTTATTAAATTGAAGAAGAAAAACTAGCTTTATGCCTTCAATAATTAAACGCAAAACTTCAGAGCAAAGCTTTATTTACAATAATTTGTACAAAAAAAAGGCAGTGATTGTGTACTTTCAATTTTTTCAAGAATCACATGGATATAACGATTTTATTATTGTTCAAATGCATTGATTTTTATTACTATTTTATCACTTTTTTTTCAGCGAGTTAGCTATTTACTGCTATAAATAGTCTGAGTTTGTAAGCTGTTGTTTTTTTTGATTTCTCCCACATAAGTAATTTATTAATTACAATAATAAGATAAATAAATTGCTTCTGAATTACAATTAAAGTGAAAATCTCATTTTGCCCCACTTTTCATCATAATTAGTGAAATAAAGCAGCTTATACTGAACTTTGTTGATCAATGAAAGTTGCTGTCAATAAATAATATTGTGTCCTTGTAACTATTGAATAATTATTGCTTTTAATAGTTGTAGAAATGTATTTAAAAAATATCCATTACTTGATGTTAGAGATATTTACTTCGTGTATTTCTTAGCAATATCAAATACTGCAAATTTATTCCACGTTTTGTATTCATTTCAATTTTATACTCACCAATAACAATGACAATTATTACATAGAAATACAAAAGCACACATATATTAAAGTACTGATAAAATATTTGAAATTATTTTAGTTACTTAGAATAGGAAATAATTGAAAAATTTTACATATTTCCACAATAAAAAACTTGATTTAACTTTTAACTCTTAGCTTTAGCATTTTCCGGTAAAGAAAAAGAAAAGTTTTATTAAGCACTAAAATTGATGTTTGCATTTGTGTTAAAATAAGCAAATCCAAGGAGTCAAGTTGTAAATTCAGCCTTCAATGACACAGCAAAGATATTTCTCGAAATACGATCATTACTACACTCATTCAAATTCTCCAAATTCATTTCCCAGTGTTTTGTGGTTTTTTCAATTTTTTATTTTTCACGACATCGCTAAGCAATATTTTTGTATAACAAATCATTATTCCCAGCAACACTGAAGCACAATTTTTTGTTTCATTGCAAAATGTGTCATCGCGGTGGGTGACAAATTACAACGACCTCATTTTGCTCTATTTTAGTAATACTTTTCTACTCTTTACTCATTTTATGAACAAATATGATGGGCCAATCTGTGTCCTTTATCTCATTCCGTCTTTTTAATTCCTCACATGAATATCACCCTTAATCCACCAATATTATTATCATTGCTAATGCCAAGCAATGCAGTAATAATTTTATGTGCCCATTAATTAAATATATTCAAGCAAAGTTTCATTCATAAAAAGAAATGAATGAACAGCAAACATTATAATACATAATAATAAATCTTAAAAGCACTATTTATCATCGGATATAATCATCATATTCAATCAATTAATAATTCATTTATTTCATCTTGCAATAAGCTGCTATAATTTGCCAAACTCTTGTTAATACACATAAATTAGTACTTTACGTTTGATCATATATATGTAATCAAAGTTTTAACCAGCGCAATAGCGTCTCTCAAATTTTGATTAATTTAAAAATTTTCCTGATCTACGCCTTCCTCCCATTTTTTAAGTGTGACATATGCAAAATTCCTGATTGTACTTACATTTTGTCTGTATTCTGCAAGGACGCTTCTTGCTACAGATGCTAATTATTTACATGACTTAATCAGAAATTGACCGATTTTAAGGCTA